GCTTTTTTGACATCAAGCAAAACATAATTTTCGTTTTTAAGTTTAAGTTTTACCACATAAGTGTCAGAATGGCTTCCACACACCCGAAATCCGGCTCTAAAAAGCAACTTTGCCCGCGGTCATCTGCGTGTGTAATGGCGGATGCGTCTTAAACTTTTCGCGCTGCCGGGATCTTGTTCCCACAATGCAACGCGAAATTCAAAATAAGGGTAAAAGATCCGTAAAAGACAAATACGGAAAAAATCCTTCACATTTATATGGTACATTGTACCGTATTTTTACGGAAATTTTTTACAGTGTACACAGTATATTTGCCATGACATGTCATTGCAATTCAATGGGATAAGGTAAGTACTTATTACCACATGGTAAGGTCTAAATTAAAATCATAGCAAAAACAAATTATTTTGACTTAACATTAAGTAGGCTAATCTAGTAAGAAATGCCAATAAATGTAATTTTTATCATAGTATATATATATATATATATATATATATATATATATAATATAGTGTGTGTGTGTGTGTGTGTGTGTGTGTGTGTGTGTTTGTTTGTTTAATTTTTAACCCACAGATGTCAAAATTACCCTGTAACATTGCACAAGAACATATTTTTCCAGAAATGTGATATGTTTTATAAACAACAGACGTACAATTTTTGCCTGGAATATATTAACAGAATAGGTACCTGTTATTTTTTAACTAATTAAATAATTTGCTTGTATATCTGCTTGTTACCCCTTTATTACCCCAAACTTAACATATTGTTCCCTTATAACTACACGGAAGTACACTAAAATTACAGAAACGTACACCGGAATTTGTGTACTTACAAAATTATTTGCATCTGTTTGTTACCCCTTTATTACCCCAAACTTAACATATTGGTCCCTTATAACTACACAGAAGTACATTATAATTACAGAAACGTACACCGTAATTTCAGTGTACTTACACAGTTGTTTGCGGGTCGTAAAATAAAGTGTTACCCAAGTTTTATACAAATTCTGAATGGAAATTAGAAAGCACACAACGATCGCTCCCTTTCCGTCGAGATAGCACTCCCTTAGAACCAGGGCTATTAATAATGGGGGGAAAGGTAACTTAAGCCTAAATGTTTCGAATTTACGCAAGGAGTAGCTACAGAAGCCCCGATGGTGTGGGTAGATATAAAGTAGAAAGATATATAAAGAGAGACAATTACCCCTCAAAAAAGTCGGTAAGAAGCTTTCTCTTCCCGACCTCGAGTCGAGGTTTATCTTTCTCCTTTTTTTAAAAGTTAAAATTAGCTTCAACGGAGCGGCGCCAATCAAACAGTCCTGTCAGTCAACGATGTCATGCGCACAACACTCTTTAAATGTGGGGCGGACGTTTACATTTTAAAGCGACATGGCAACTAGCCAACTTAAAAAAATATATATTGTAAATAATCAATTCACGAAATTTACCGTATCCATTGCATGCATTTAATCAGATTTGTTATTATTATTTTTTACTAAAATAAAAATATCTGAGGGACCCCCTTAATTCTATTTTTCACTTCTTATGGGGGGTCCCTAATTCCTTATGGGGGGTCCTGTATCCCCCCAGCCCCCCCTCAATTCGAGCACTGTAACTTGCACTTAATCATATTATTAAAAATTGCCGCCAAACCTCCACCTCGACAAGTTGTCTTGTCCTCAAGGTACTTAAAATACACCTGGGGATAAGAGTTCAACAAGAGATCATATCAGCACCAAGTCTCAGTAGTAAAAAGAAAGTCCAATCCATGTGTTACATAAAAGCCATTAATAAATGTTTTAACAACTGAGCGAACAACTGAGCCATATGCACTGTAGTCGACTCAAAGAAATGAAACTTAGCTATATATTGACCCAATTCGTCTCACAGAACAGAGATTTGAGTGAACCACTCCATGTTTGGTCCCTATCAACATTGTCCAAGACATTGGTGACAGGGAAAATGGGTATCGGACATAAACCCATGACTCCGTCCCAGATCTTACTCCACTGGACAGGTTCCTCAATTTCTTAAGTTTCTTATCTGCCTCGTCTCAGCACATCTGCCTCATCTTTACATGATAAACTTTCATCAGTGCCTGAAACATGCAAACAACTTCATATTCAAATCGCAGTTCCATATGTCCATTGCTGGGGGTCAAATACTAACTACAAGACCATTTTCTGTGTTACTTCAAATTTACTGATACACGTGTGGCTGTTCTCTACAACTACAAATTGACCAGTCACAGGGTGCTCAGTTGTTTTGCTCCAATAACACCTTCATATTTTGCATATCCGAATTGGATGTATGCAAATATAACAAAGGGACATAACTGAACATTGCTAGCAAAGATCTTTACTTAATTCATAAAGAAAAGCTATTAATCTGCTACATTTCTCAGTCCTTTATGTTAAAGGTAAGGTAGGTAAGATTTCTTTATAATGTGAGAGGTAAAAAAAAAAAAAAAAAAAACGAGAGAGAGAGAGAGAGAGAGCATTCAATCTCAATCATTATTAATTTATTTAAAATAAAAAGATGCAATGATAGTTAATGGTGACCAAGACTATCAGTCTCAATGTCCTACTATGCATTGTGTCCCACTGAAAATAAAGTCATATTTTTTTAGTACAAATTATGTGCATACTTCAGTTTTATTCTTTAGTCAACCATTTATTTTAATTTGTAACTAACAGACTAGTTATATTAACCTTTAAATTATTTTCTGAATGCATTAGCAATTTATTCTTATATTATTATACTATTATTAAGATTTATATAAAGAAGTATTATGTAAGATGACCCCATTTTTTCCAGATGTATTTTACAGAAAAGAAACATTCTTAATATCAAATTCTGATAATCCCAGGTTGCTTTGGTCACAGGTTGACACAGGAGGCTATGATTTTACATCGCATGGCCACGACATAAGGGTTAATGACTTCACATCGCATGGCCACGTTCTCAAGAGTTACTTCTGTATGTCGTGGACACGACAAATCTAGGTGAATTGAACATGTCCCTTCTTGGTCACCGCATTATTATTATTTTTTTTTTATCTCTGTAAGTGCAATTTTTAACTACCCTGTATCTGTGTTTTAGTAAAATATTCAAATTTAATCACTTAAAGGTATTGTAGGTAGGAATTTTATAAAAAAAAACGTTTTTTTTCCAAATTTGTTTAAACTTTCTCTATATATCAATGCATAATTAAAATGTAAGTACTCTGAAAAAGAAAGTATAATCATATAAATCGAGTGTCTGTAGACCTCTCACGACTGTTTTATAGACAGCTCATTATTTCCATTCACTCCACCTCCCTTCTGGGCTCCTTCCAAGGCCACGCCCCCAAACCACATGAACGCGTGACTCCGACAGCTTATTTACCTCAGCAGAAGACGCATTATTTACCTCAGCATGTTTATGATCGGCGTTGACTTAACGTTATTACTGTATATATAAATATGTGACCTACCCCAACACCGTCCCTAAACCTACCTGTCACGGGGGTTAATAGCATTTATGAGTCTTCCCCTACCATCCTAGGAAAAAAAAATATCGCTTCCCAGATGTAGATCTACATTTTGCTTCGTTTCGCTCGGACATTTAACGGCGTGTACATACACGAGGAATCACTCGGACTTTAATAGCGTAATGGCGTAGACATACACGCACACACACGGATACACGCGGATAGCTCAAAATGCATATAGATAACCCACCACTTGACTTGAAAGTGCCGTGTATGTTTACGCAAAAGTCATGATGTCATGTTACCGCATCGTCAGCTCAAGTACAGATCCGGGTCGAGGGCGAAGCAGAGGAGGTCGTGCAAGAGGCCGTGCAACTAGGGTCCGAGGAAGAAGAGGCCGAGGACGGGGTGGTCGAAGTGCAGGGCAAGGAGCACTTCTTGGACAAGAGGACCTGTGTCGAGTTTTGCATCTTCAAGCTCAAACAAGGGCATGTGAACAGGTAGGATCTGGATACGCGCAAGTGGGCAGGTCCTGTGTGGCAAAAGGGTGGTTGCCATGGTTGCGAGAGAGTGACAGTCGCCTAAGCCAATCCTTTGTTTCGTCCCGGTTGGAAATAATGTGCTGTGTTTAGTGCAGATTAAACGGTCTAGAGTTACTTGATTTTTAGACTCTTTTTATCAGATTTATTATGCATTGATATATATATAGAAATGAAAGTTTAAAAAAGTTTTTTTTATAAAATTCTTACCTACAATACATTTAATCCAAATCAATCAGAATACTATAGTCTTTTACCTATTAAATTTTGATCAGCGTCAACAAAAGCCATCTTTACATTACCAAGGTGGCATAGAAGCTGCATATGACATACTGACTTGCTCAAAGGTGGCATAAATCTATTTACACAACAATTATAATATGAGATTATGTAGGCTATTTAAAATTGATAGATTGACAGATGATAGATAGATAGATAGATAGATAGATAGATAGATAGAGCCAACTTAAGTCACTATTAATTTTCTCAAGTGATCTATGATAACAAGGAGTTTTAACAACCAAGACACCCACCTGCTACAAGATCACCGAAACCAATAGTTGTCAAAGTGACAAAAGAAAAATACAAGCCCTCGATATAGGTCCAGCCTTCTTGAGACATGAATACAAATGGAGGAATCAGCAAATGGACCAGCACACCCCATAACAGAAAGACAGCTGTGCAGGTAAACTGTGTTTTCCGCTTTGAGAAGCCAAAAAAACAACAACAAAAACAACAACCTTATAACACAAAAATAGATTTTCAAAATGCAGTTAGAAGTTCTAGCAATTTTTGTTATTTATTTATTATAGTGATAATCATTTTTACAATACAATACAGTGTGTGTTTGCTCCTTACCAATGTTACTCCTTTCTTAGTAAGATATTTCCCAAGGTGTTTAGCTCTTCCACCAAAAAACTTTCCAAGCTCACTGATCCAGGTGAAACACAGCGGCACTCCAAAAAGACCATAAAATATACAAAAAACCCTCCCTGGAGGCGTTTTTGGCGCAATATTTCCATAACCTGCAGAAATAAATTTTTGTGGGGTGAAAATGGATTGCAGTTTATTGTGAATGCCATTCCTATAGTATTACGCGAACAATCAAAAAACAGTACCCTTGTTTGTAAGGAGGACATACCAGAATGGCTCTAAATTATGGGAAATAATAATAATAATAACTCTTCATTCTTATAAGTTATTTTTGTGTTAAAGACAGTAGCATAAATAAATTCACTGCATGTTTTTTTATTTTTTTATTTTTTATTTCTCCAAGATACTGCTTCAATGGACCAGATCCTTACCTATAGTTGTGATAATTGTAGCTGCAAAGATGACTGCATTGGGCCAGTTCCAGTTGTTGAAGGCTTTGTCCCCTGTTATGGTGACGCCTTGTCCTGCAGCATCAGACACCACCTATTTAAAAATTAAACAAACTGATGAAAACAGCCACACATTTCAATTTGAACACAGTGTGACATCAAGATAGTCTATTTTCTAGAGAAGCATGTGTCTGAGATAAGACCTTATATCCTCTCATGCAAATTAAATTATCAACAGCCCTCTGAGAATGCTGATGAGCCTGCTTCTCTAGGACATGAGTGGGCCATACCTCAAATATAATAAAGTTTCTCAACAATGGATCTGAGATCATCAGACCATGCTAAGATATCATAGAAGTCTAGTGAACGAGGCTTAAGACATCCCCTGAAATCACAGATAAAATAATCTGTTCAGTGCAATTTTTATATATATATGAAGAGTTCAGATGCAAAAGCCTCTAAGTGCCATTTGAAATTTTCTTCTAGAATGATGATTTTTATCAAGCTTGTATATTTAAGTTCAGTGATTTCACTTAAATGGCAATGATAATTACCTATTAATTGTTATTTAAGTGAAATTACTGAACTTAAATACAAGTTTGATAAAAATCATCATTAAAGAAGAAAATTTCAAATGGCATTTAGAGGCTTTTGCATCTGAACTCTTCATATAAAAAAAGCTCACTTAAACAAGAGTTTCCTCTCTCCTCTGGGACCTTCCATGTAAAATTAGAGAATAAACATTTATACAGCTTTGATCTGACAACTTAGTAGGTTTGCTCGTTGCATGTCCTTGTTTGTTCTTAGCAAGACATTTTTCTGCTTCCACACAGATGGATAAGATTCTCTGAAGTCAAGTCACCTTCATTTATAAACCGCTTTTAACAGTATGGATTGTTTCAATGCAGCTTTACAGTTATAATAGAAATTACCGTTGTTACCGAATTACCGAAATTACTTCCGTTGCAAAGATCATTAGTTATTAAATTAGGAGCCGCTAACACGACACTGTTCTAACAGAAAAACTCTTAACGCGCTCTGGACGCCCATCCGCCCATCCTGGTGTCTCGAGAATGCGCTCTCTGAAATAGGTTTGAAGGTGCAAACGATTATCCGTTATCTCTGCACAAACCTCAAAAACGCAAACCCGTGAAAACGCAGATGGCACGCACATGCGCATCACATGTTCAGTCCATAGGTATTCGCGTTTTAATATACAGTATATTTGCACAGGCGTGTAGTCCTCCACAAATCAACCCTCAACAAACTAGTTGATCTTAAAAATGTCTGGTATTAATTAATAATAAAGACATTTTTGTAGCGTCTGCATAGCCACAAGAACCGGAATTATCCCAACAACATTTTATCTACAGAGGTAAAGGGAAGGACTAGTTGCGTCAGAAAGCAATGAGTCAAAAAAATCTTATTCACAATATTTCAAACAAGCCTGCTGTGCTTTTAATTGTGGGCGGCATTTCTGGCAGTACCTCAGTCCTCATTTGGATATCTCTTTAGAATGTGCTATGTTACACCGGATGTAAGAAGTGCGACAAGATGCATCAGAAGCCAATAGAACGCACTATAACTAGCAATTTTGTCTACACTTGATGAACTGTCGTCAGTAAACTGATGCCCTGTTTGCTAATGAACAAATGATTTTTTTTAAATTTGCTTTTTTCCAGTGCAGACAGCCTCAAGCTGCCATTATCGATGTAGCTTTTAAATATATAAAAACTGTATGCAGTCGTGGGGGGCACATTAACTTAATTCCCAAATAGAATTCAATGTCTAGAAAAGCATTAATCTCTTCCAACATTTTGTGAGAGCTCTTTAGTTCATATCAACACTAGACAGACAATCTCCCTGTGAACACAAATCCATATCATGTAGAGATGGCATCTCATCTGACAATGCTACATCCATGCCACTCTTACTTTGTTGGCAGATCAACTCCAACTGCTCCTTTTTCACCACACCCTTTCCACTTAAACCACCCGGTGAATTACCACTTGTACTTGGAACAGAGTGCATTCCATACACATCAATTTTTTCCTAAAGCCAGAAACTGTCATTGTTGTTTTCCCCTCATTTTCTAATTGAATATTCACAGATGCAAATACACAGACTTCTGACATTCTTACCTCAGAAGTAGGTTCAAGTTTAGATGTAGCGCCAATCTCTAATCCTAAAAGCAATGCCTTTATGCAGGCAAGGGTGCAGTTTATGCCTAACATCAAAGCATTCAAAACACTTCAAGCTACCGGTTGTTGCGTAGATCATGTATGTTTTTAGGGTAACCCCAGAGAGATCACTTGAAAGAACTATACATTTAGTTCTACAAGGCCACTATAGATTTCACTACAAGGCCACATATAATCAACTAATTGACAAAATGCTGCGCTTTCAAAGAAACCACGTCAGCCTTGATCATGTGAGAGGCAGATCAAATATTTTCATGGCCTATCACCTCCCCTGTCAAACAAGCAAGTTCTCCACTGTTATCAGCAGTTACACACTTAAAGCCACTGCGCAAGGACAATGTCTCTGCCTCCACACCCAACTCGCCTACCAGCCAACAGAAACCAAAAATCAACACTATAAAAATCATGCAGGGTAAAAATGAAAAGGAAAACAAAAGTGTACTATGTTTCTACTGAAAAAGGTCATTGAGCTTTTCATTTGTAAAAAGTATTTTATTAATAAAGTCGCAGGCCAGCACTGACAAGTTCCTATTCGCAATAATGTTTCTGTGTGTGTGTGTCTGTGTTGCATGTGTGTGCATTTGTGGGCGAGTGATAGAAATAGAGTGCTTTCAATAATTAATAAAAGGTAATATAGTTGGAAAAACTATTTATTGTTTGCCTGGTCAGTGTCATTGTGGATTTAGGTTATTTTCCTGTTGTAGGCTGTAAGGACCTTTGAAATATTGCCAAATTCACACAGAAACAGAACACAGTACTGTACACAGTACAATACCTTATCCAAGTCCTTAATATGGTTATGTTCACACACATTACATAGTTCTGGCATGAAACTCTGAATGGTACAGGCTGATAGGTCTAGAACTTATCAACGTAGCACAGCTGTTTGGTTGCTGTTGGATCAGAGGTCAATGAGCTTGCTGCCCAAGCATTCAAATACTTGCCATTGTTTGCTGTTACAGTCTGACTAGAGTCTTACTATGCTTTCAGAAACGCTCCACTTGTATATTTCTGCCACAGTGTTAATTCATTTATGTTACATGTACAGCAGCATGTCTTACAGCATGTAGTCTTACAGCAATGTCTGTAAAGGTATTCGCAGAAGCAAGTCTCGGTACTTGCTCAGCAACAACAGCGTAGCAGATCTCAAGATTAAATACATTAACATTGCCATATCCATTTCCATGCCAATGAATCTCTAGTACCAAACCAATCTCCCGAGAGTTGTCATGACAGAAATACAATTTTTCAAGGGAGTGACGACAACATTGTATAACCAAAGCCATAGCCGTAAAGTTTCAGTAACCACTATCACATTCTTGAAAAAAAACTATGTGAACAGAACCAGACTACAGTTGTTTGTCACATCATACAGGGCGAGAGAGTCACTCTGCGCTGCACAATTGCGTTTCTACCGTGTGTTGGGGTTTTTTCCATGTGTGGTTTCAGTAACTTATCGGCGATGGAGATATGAGCTGTGTCATCTAATGATTTTAGGTGTAGCCACTGTTCTCCACGGAGGCTGTTCCAGTCAGTATTGCATTCTGCGTGTGACTCAAATCAAATGCTCTGCTCTCCACCCAGATATAAAAGCTGCTGTCGGTTAATAAAGATTTGACGGATGAACTCATTTAGACTCTTGTCATGCCAAAAGATATAAGATTATTCAAGACTTTAAGTTGCTGTTGGAAAGGGATATTTCAAGGCTCACACCTGTGAGCAAATACTCCAAGTCTAAAAGATTGGCTAAGAGACCAATCGGAGTACACTGGGTTTTTTGCACAGGAACTAAAACAGAGGGTTTCAGGCAGGGAATAAAAAAAGGTTCTGTAGCAATGTACAGTATTTAGCACTATAAGAAAAATATTTCATAATAATATTTTATTTCATACAAATATTTCAAAATAGTTAATAAAAAAATTATAATTTTTAGGGCCCGAGCACCCATGGTGAGAGGACCCTCTTGGAATTGCTCTGTTTATTAGGGCCTAAGCCCTGAAGGGGCGAAGGCCCTATTGTTTTCCTTAGGATTATTAGGGCCCAAGCCCTGAAAGGGAGCAGAGCCCTGTTGTTTTCCTTGGGATTATTTTTCTTTTTTTTTTTCTCTTTTTTTTCCTAACGACTATTCGGGCACTTTTGGGGCCCTTGACATGCTCAAAAACTCTTGAAACTTTGCATACGGGTCAGAACCTGCGGCCACCAGGGTCGGGCTGAAGATGGTACCCGGGCGTGGCAGGGGGGCTCGACAGCGCCCCCTGAAACTTGGTCCATAAATCAAACACGCTTGCATGTAATAATATATAAAACTCGGTACACATGTAGATCTCATCGTTTCATATGTACTTCATACTCTTACTTTTTACCCCAGCCCAACAGGAAGTCGGCTATTGAGGGTTGTTTGTAAAACGCTTGCAATGGAATTTGAAATACTCCTCCTAGAGCTCTGATCCAAATTCAATGAAACTCGGTCAGCATGAAGTCAAGACGATGAAGGATGAAAGTTTGCGAGGAGATTTTTGATATCTCAAACTCGAACGGTTTGGCCGTGGCGAGGAAACAAAATTATGGCGAGAAACATGAAACAGGAAGTGTGTTATAACTTCTGCATACATTAACTGATCTTGATGAAACTTCAGCTGTGTGTTCTTTGTAAGAGGCCGATCACATGGATGCGACTATTGTGAGTCAAATATATAGCGGCACCAACTGGCAGCAGGAAGTGTTTCACTTTCAAAATGCTTTGAAATCACACTCTTACTTTTACCCGATTTGCTTCAAACTTCATGTGTATAATGTAAACACACGCCAGATGAAGTCCTGTGAAAGCATTATTTAATATCTAAGATAATGTCGCCATAGCAACGCATCAAACTTTAACACTTCGGGGTCGCCG